TGGACTGGATTCCATGAGCCGAGCGATGACCCAATGAAGCTAAATGCGTAAGCAGCAAGTTGTGCATGTGTGACCCATTACCTGTTTGTTTTGGGGCCCCTTTGAGCCATTATTTATGAAGGTGCTGAACTCGAGGGCTTTGATCAGAGGCAATAGATTTGACACGTCAAAAAAAACCAAGAAGAACAGAAAAGAAAAGAAATTCTATTCAATTAGAAATCCAGACGACCGTGATTGGAAAAAAATGGGAAACAGTGCTGGGAAGGCCAAGTGACAAGAGCCAACCGCCTGATGGGTACTTGTGAAATGGTTCATTTTCAGAGTGCACTAACATCTAGGATTCGAGTTAGAGCGCAGATTTGTCGAGGCTGGTTGTTCGTACTGAAAATATATGTAGATAACGTCTCTGGTAATTCAATTCCTGTGCTGAGACAAGTCCAAAAGTTTGAGACATGTCTTTTAGTGCATGGAGCTTCTGAGAGTAGGAATCAGTCCTTGCAAATATGAGGAGATACACCGGTGTTGCCTTCTCTGTAATATTTAAATGCATGCCATGAATATGAATCTTGTTTTCTTCTTGGAGCTGGAGGGTGATTGCCCTGAACACAGATCAAGAACAAGGTGATAGTGGGTCCTCTTGCCAGAGTAGTTTAAATGAGGTGGTAAGACCCATTGTTTGATTCTTTTAAACAGAGGAAGGTGCAGATGGAGATGCATGCATTGGAATTGGAATTAACTTTCATGGAACCAGAGGGCAGCTGGCAAATTATCCTACCTGGTCATAGTAAGTAGGAAAGTGATCATGGTTCCAGCTTTTCTTCCTAGAGTGATTGAACAAGCTCATGAGCCAGTAAGATGCTGTCAGAAATTAACTTGAATCGAGGCATGGAAGTATCTTGAAATGGTATAGCATATTATTAGCATTACTTCATATATCAAAGTGGAGATGTATCTGTGTGGGAACTGGGTAGAATATAGGTAATATTACAAAAGCCTTGGCGTAACGATTGGATTACTCCATTATTGCAACCTGGGTGATGAAGGTTCAAATCTTGAAAACAATCTCTTTGTATGTATAAGAATAAGGCTGCATACATTTGTCCCTCTCCAGACCCTTTGGTGGGATCTCATGCTGAGTTGCCTTTTTACAATGTCTCTTATATATTGGGAATGATTTGTTAATTTAGGGTTTGGACTTGGTGGTGTTAAAGGCTATTTCAGTTGGTTTTGGTTTATTCTATTTGAGATGAACCTGAGAGAAAAATTGATACCAGGGTGGTTGCCTTTGCCCACTATATCACAGAAATGTAAGCAAAGAATCAAAAGAATCCATTTGATCTATGAGACTCAAAGGTTTCAATATCAAACATTTATTCCCTAATCTCTTCAAGGGAAAGATGGTTTTCTAGTTATAGTGGTGATTTATCATTTGTCTATGATATTGGGAGGGTTTTAAATTACTTATCTCCTAGAAGTAGTTGAGGATGTTTTTAATTACCATTTTCATCTTGTTTTAATTTGTATATTCTTCCAAGGCTTCTGAAGTTAGGGTAGCTCCTTTTGCATTGCAACTGCTCAAATTGGAGGTGAGATCGTTGCTTCCCATTGAACAATTCTTTTGGGCTGGTTCAGTCCCTTTTAGAGTCATGAATATCATTCAATACTGCATAGTTTAAAAGTATTCATCCCAAAGAATCACAATAGCCAAACATAAATTTCAGCTATCATTAAGCCTGGTAAACAGCTAAATTTGAATCAATTGTTGCCTGAACCAGCCTGGCCTGAATACCTAGACCATTTGACCCACCATCTTGCAGGAAAACCAGGTTCGGAACAGGCTAGACCTTACACCTTTTTCGTAGTATGTATGAAATATGTGTGTTTATAATTGCTTGACGCAATGATAAAATCTTAGGTTGACAAATGAGAATGTAGGTTTTGTTTGAAAAAATATAAGTCGATTCACAAACCAAATGATGATGATGATGATGATGGCCAGTGGATTAGCTGCACTTGATGGCTGCTTTAGGGGCTGTTTAACCAATAATAATGCCTAATGTCAGCCATCAAGAGTATATGCCCCACAATCATTTCAATCTCTCACTTTGCGTGCAAGGCTGACGTGTGATGTTATCTTTCTTTAAACAGCCTCTAACACAGCCATCAAATGCAGCTAATTCTGATTCACACTTTTAAACCTCCTCCTCCCCCCTCCCAACAAAAAAGAAAAAAAAAAAAAGAAGATCAATACAATATGGAATGCCATTGAGTCAACTTTACTCAATAATTATAAGCGAACTCGTAAATCAAATAATAAAAATGATGGCGATGATGATGATGATGATGACAATAATAATGATGATAATGACAATGACCAACCAGCGTTTTTAAGGCCCCATTATAAATGCCATTAAATCAAATTTATTCGAATATACTAACTTGACCCAATCAAATAATCAAATGATGATGGTGATGATAATAATGACAACGATGACGATGATGATAATAATGATAGATGTGGGAGCATAAGATGTATTTTACAACTCATATCTTATATGGGAATTACTGTTCGAAATTTAAGTATTTGAAATAAAATGAGATTAACAAAAGATTATTTGGTTGCTGTAAACCCACTTAGGGCTAAGGAAGGACGGTTTTTGGAAACATATCACTGGACCCTGGTCGTATAAGCCAAAGAATACAAAGGAAACAAAATACAAAGATAAAGACAAGAAAAGAAACAAGATCAAGATGAAAACATCTATGAAATTGAATCCAATGAAGAAAATATTAGTTCTTCAAAAACATCCACTTTATTTGTCAACCTTTGTCTCATTAAACAAATGTTCCGAGGCCTTATACAGCCTCCTTTCTCAAGCTCAAGTGAGAGTCCTGAATTGTAGGTTCACACCTCACAAATATTTATCTGACCGGATCATAATCTGGTTCAATTCAGAACCAGTAAAGATTTGGGTCCAACTCCGGACCCAGTTGATGGGGAACCTCATAAACTGATAAACAGAGGAAGATACAAACAAATTCTGAAAGTTGAGAGGGAAAGTAACCATTTCCTTTTTTTCCTTTTTCTCTCAAGTGTACCTGTGCAACAGAACTTAGACGTAATGCTTTTATCATGAAAATGAAAAATATTGTCAGTTTTCATAACCACCGTACCATATCTGGACCCCGACCCGATAAGAACCAGACCCGTACCCATCCCACCAAAACCCCTATTACGTCACCAGCCATACTGTCATCTGTAAGATTCCTGGCCTGTCTCTACATGACTGGTCTGGCAAACCCCTGCTCAGACGGGTTCTGCACTATTCCTGGCTGGCCAGTTCTAATTTGCTACAAAATTTTCTGGCTCAATCTCTTGGTGACATTTAAGGTGGAAAGCAAGAGGGCTTATCAAGAAAAAGCATGTAAAAAAGAAGATAAAGTCCAGGGAGTGGGGCTCATGCAGCTACCCAACTAGGGGCAAGGGGGGCAAGGCCTGAAAAATTAAGGGAAAAGTAGACTAAATTCCACCTCAAAAATCTGAAATTACAGCCCCCTTATAAACCGTAGCCTGCCCATGGATTTGACATCGATCCATACTGTGGGGATCAGACTTTTGGGATGGACTAAACAATAAAAACCCCAAAATTTAATGCTTATTGATTTGTTTGGGTGGCCAAGAAAATAATCAGATTAGCATTTCTGCAACAATCACATTCAAGTAGGGTGTCCTTTGCATAATGTTGTTAAGCTCATTCTTTTTTTTTGGGTGACCTAGTAACCCAGGTAAGTGCCTTTATAAACACTTATCCCAGTAGGTGCATTTATCTATATTCTTTTAATATCAGGCAAGTTAAGTACCCATATATAAATGCTTTGACGATAATTCTACTTTTTGCTTGGTTATACTCACCACTAATAACCCCCCCCCCCCCCCTCTCCCCAAAGTGGTGGTTTGCGGGAATTGAATCCACCTCTATGCTGAAGGGAACCAGCTAATATACCAGGCACCCCTCAAATAAGTTGGTCAACTTTCCTATTAACCAAACTTATCCCTCCATTTACTCAAAAAAACCAGAAAGTAAAATCAGAAAGATCACAGGATCACCTGTTCGCCAATTCAATCATTCAACCATCCGGTCCATCCAAGTTTGAGAATAACAAGCAGAAGGGGAATTGGCCATGCAGACGCAAGGTGTTACTAGCACTGATCAGACTCGAACAAAACCCAAAAGCTCGCTGGGTCACAGTAACTGTTTCAGCCCTCAAATAACCCGGACTAGCAAGCTCACCGGGTCACCAAGTCACCCGTTCAACACCATCCAGTCAGCTCGGAGCCTGACGAGGGGCAGTTGGGGTGAGTTTTTGCTTTAAAAATGGAACACCAACAAAGTTTGAGTTGTGAGTTGTGACAGGTGACCGTTGAAGAGTCATGTCAACAACTCTTAGATTCAAAATTTGCGGTGGGTCAAATGGCACATGCTTTTCCTCAGTCTCAACTCTTGAATTCAAAGGTGCAGAGAGTCGAAATTGCAGTGGGAACATGAAATTCCAGCAATGACCCACATGAGAATGAGCCATGGATTTGAGGGTTTCATGTTTCATCAACCTGGCATTTCAGTTTTTCTACCGTCTGATCAAAGATTTACCAAAACCTGAAGTAGATACCAGTCGGCATCATTACCCAGTAGAGCCAAGCCACTGTTCATAAAATTAGGAATGCCCACAATGCAATGATGAACTGCCACTCTGCCAACCTTCCTAGAGGGGGCCTCATCCATTGAATGATCGACATGGATCTTACTGTATTGAAGGGGGATTAAAGATTTCATTTGGAGGATTATCCTCTCCCTGCATCACCCAAGATGCAAGCAAAAGGAAACAGAAGGTAATCCATTTTCTCCAAGCATGATACAAGGAAAGGGCAAGAAAAGAGAAAAGACAATGGGATGAGCATCATTCTACTGCAAGAGAAAGCAACCCATTACTGCAAAAAGATAAAGAGAAAAGGGATGATTAATGATTAAGTTATTTAATAAGTAAAACAAAAGAGCAGGTGAAAAAAGGGATGATAACTGAGAGTCTTTTACCAGACCAAGAAAAAGTAGAGGAAATTTGACAGAAGACAAGAAGAAATGGAAGGGTAAAAAAGAAACCAGAAAAAAAAAAGTAGCCCCATTGAACCCTGAATTTTATCTGTACAATAAGAATTTTTTTTTTTTTTCTTTCTTTTTCTTCTTTTCTGTGTTCTGGATACTAGAAGAAACCTCACAGTTAAGAGCACCTCTTTTCATCCCTGTCATGATTTTGCCATCTAAAAGTTGTGGTATGAACCAGCAGCCAAGATGCAGACTCCAATAGCAAGAGGGGTATTCCTCATTGTGATTGCTCCTTTAACCCATTGGGGATTTTTATCACCATAAACTCTGGACTGTATGTATTGATCTCTTAAGGATTTCCTGGAAAGCTCAAAAAATTTGAATGGTAAGGAGGATTATTCAATTGGGTCCTGTTGCAATTGTCAGTCCTAGACATGTAATCCTTCAGATGTATGACTGTCTGATGATCCAGCACTGTTTTCAATGTCATTGGAGCCAGAATTTTCTTTCATGGATTCAATTTCCATGCTGGTTGTTCGACTCTTCCTGTTCCTTCGATCCTGCGAAAAAGAAAAATCGTAGATGTCTTTGAAATGAGCCTCTAAAATGGACACATGAATCTGATAAGAAAAAACAGCCAAATATGAAGTTTGCAAAGATTAATGAGCACCTCACGGTATGGGTATTCATCAGCTTCAAGCATTCGAACAACTTGACCCATTTTTGGTCTTTTCTCTGAGTCAGGATCAACACATCTCAGTGCAATCAACAGGGCACGCTTAAGAGCCCGTGTCGTGGGTTTAACTTCAAGGTTTGGATCCACAACTTCCTCAGCTCTCCTAGTGCCTACCATCACCTTAAGCCACTCAACAAGATTAACCTGCCATGAACATGGAGCACTTCTCTATTGAACTACTATATTTATTTCCAATAATGAGAAAAAAATAAAACCTTCCCAATAAACATAGCTAAGACTATCATTGGCCAACTAGGAATTAAGAGTGTATCACCTCATTTTCAGGCCGGCTATAGTCCACAGGGTCCCTGCCTGTAACTGCTTCTAATAGGAGGACACCAAAACTGTAGACATCACTTTTCTCATTTAACAAGCCAGTATTTGCATATTCAGGTGCCACATACCTGATAAGGAACTGATTTATTTAGTATGGAACCAAAAGGGTGAATTTACAAATACAATACAGGTGACAAACTAGAAAAATACACAAGAACAGAAACATGATACAAATGTAGGCATAGAAAATGTTGACATTACCCAAAAGTTCCCATTACTCTGGTGGTGATATGGCTTTTCCCTGAACCCAAGAGTTTGGCCAAGCCAAAATCAGAAATCTTTGCATTAAACTCCTCATCAATCAAGATATTACTTGATTTTATGTCGCGATGAACGACTTTTGGTTCAATTGCCTCGTGCAAATAGGCAAGACTGCATAGCATTTTGAAGAAAGAAAGATCATTTCATCAAATTGTATAAATATCCACAGTGTCAAAGGTAGTTCCAACAATAGCCATGAGTTGAGAGATGAACTCACGCCTTAGCAGTTCCAAGGATAACTTTCATACGGGCTTCCCAACTAAGGGAACCCCGTTGGCGCATAGCCCCATGAAGCCACTGCTCCAAGTTACCATTGTTCACATATTCATACACCAACATCCTATATTGTGAAAAACTATTAGTATCATCAGGCAGGTGGGTTAAATTCAAGAAAAAGAGAAGGAAAGAGGGAATGGAATTCACATGAAAAATGAAGCAGCAATGGAGCTTTGTTAGAAAACTATAAAATGAATTTTACCTGTGTATTCCCTCTACACAATAGCCCAAAAGCCGCACAAGATTCTTATGTCGAACATGGCCTATGGCCTCCACTTCAACTCTAAATTCCTTCTCTGCCTGCCCCCTACAAACCCAGTTCACAGATCAATCATAAGAATTTAAATTCAGATACACTAAAGGGTAAGAAAGCTTTTCTTTTCTTCTTTGCAAATTGTTCAAAGCATTCAAGTGTACTCACAGATTATTGAGGATTTTCTTCACTGCTACCTCAGTTCCATTGATCAGTCGGCCCCTATAAACAACACCATACCCACCTTCTCCAAGCACATTCTCTGCAGAGAAACGATTGGTTGCATGCTCAAGATCCCTAAGTGTAAACCAGTGACCCCATCCAAGATGTGAAACTTCAGGCAGACCGATCAATGGAGATGCTGATGCCAGTCCATACAAAGAAGACTGCTTGCGAACAGTTCCAGAGCTTCCCTCCTCCCCTGACTGTGAGCTGCAGCCTCGCTCAAGTTGATAAATTGAACTGCACTGGCTGAGGTTATCTGCGTCACTGGATTTGCTGGCAGCCAAATGAACAAACAATTTTTCGGAATGCTTGTCACCTGGTTTATCATGGACTGCCAGGATAACACCTTCACGACGATCATTAAAATTGTTAATTCCAACCTTGTCCACTTTGATTTCCTTTGAGACAATGGGTATTTGGGAAAGGGAGAACTTGTCTGAGGTTCTCCTTGATTTCCTTCTCAATGTGACCCATATAGATAAGATGGAGAGAATCAATACAATAAACACACCAACGCAGATACCAATCAAAACCCACAGCTTCAGACCAAGAAATGAAGTCTTCTTTGACAATTCAGCATTTAGAGACTCGTTGGATGACATTTCCAGTTTTCAGTGTACACAAAAGAGAGATCTTTCCTGCAGTTGGAGTTGTGATCCGTCTACTTAATCTCATGTGCTGCAAACTCAGTCCATCTCCACCTGTAAACCCAAATAGACGGAAATGCTAAATTACTTTCTATATGTCAAAATGTTAAACATGGATCTGAAGTCTGAACTTCTGAGACTAAGGCTGAACCCAGATATTTTCCATGATGAAATTTCTTAGAAAGCAAGCTAGATATCAATTATCCAAATTATCCATTATATTACAGTAAAGCAACCCTACCTTGATACAACTCCCAAATGTAAATTTATGAGAAAATAAGCAAGTTTAGAGTACCCATTTGATTAAAATAATTCTTCTCTTCAATTTAACTCGTTTCACAAAAGGAGACAAAAGAAAGAAAGGAAAGAGCATCTGATTCGTCCCCTCTTCAAGAAGTTCAAATGCATTGTGCTGACAGTTAAAAGAGAAAACAATGATCCAAGAAAAAGAAATTCCTAGCTGAGATTTTAGCTGCTTTTACAAATCAAGTAAAAGCATTTAGCATCCAAGCCATCCCAAGAAACATTCTCATGTGATGTGAATGTTCCATTCAACCGATCAATCGGGCACCCAAAAGAAAATTACAAAGCTCCAGGTATCATTCAGAACCAGAGACAGAGAAATATCAACCCACCATAAGATAATGCGAATAAGAAAATGTATCATTCCTGGTGATCTGTTCGACTGTTCCCCTTTGATCTTCTTCCCTGAGATACACACAGAAGAAGGAAACTGGCCTGCTGTTGAACTTTGAAACAACAGAGTCTCAGAAGGCATAGATAGGCCAATGTCGACCAGAAATAACACAACAGCCTACCAAAACCCAGAAGCCCAAAAATAGCATTTGCAAAAGAGTAGTTTAGAAGTTGGAGTTCTGCCAGGATTTCCAGAAGTGGGCCAAAGAGAATTGAAAACTAAAGAGAGAATACGCAAGCAGCTCAGACAAAAATCCAATATTCGAGCAAAAGAAGCAGGAAAAAATATTGCTATTTTACGAGAATTTTAGAGGGATAGAGAAGCAAAGAGTTGGTAAAATGGTTGGTGGAGTTTCGTCCTTGTGGACGAGAGGGGGACCCGTGGAAGCTAGGAAGAAAGCTTGGTTTGCAATGGAGGAAACCGAGAGAGAGAGAGAGAGAGAGAGAGAGAGAGAGAGAGAAACAGTAAAACCAAAGCAAATGTGGTGAAACAGAGCTTGCATTTATAGCTTGGTAGAAAAAAATACAGAAAAGAATCAATAAACTCAAAATTGAAGGGGAGACCGGGAGAGAGAGAGAGAGAAAGGAGGGAAGTATTGAATTTTTCCAGCTTGCTTGCTGATTAGACTATTAGTATTAGACCAAGTCACCAAACTGCCCTTTGGTTTAGTAGAAGCCCATATTTGGTTTAAGATCAAATTTACCTGAGGCAAGCCACTTGATCCATTAAGCTCATAAATCTTTTATTAGGGGTAAAGATGCCCCACATGCAATCTCACTTATCAACCGTCAGATTAGCATCAGAGGGCAATAATGTGTTGATGTGTATATGGGTGTCAACTGAATGTCAATCCAAATGTTGGGCCCACCAGGGAATCAAAATGGCCAAGATCATAGACTATATCTAGTTGAGTTGGGACCACTCCAGAGTGGACTGTGACCCTCCATTTGTGGGATGTCTTCTTTAAATGTTATCTCATGCTTGCTCTTCTTAGATGCATTAGATGCCTTTCTTTCTTTAGTTCTTTATTTTCTTGGCAAATTATAAATTGGGTCTGCCTTGTTTACAGCTTAATTAGTTTGTTATTAACATGGAACGCATTGACTTAAGAAAATTTGAAGTTGCAGAGTTACAACGGCTCTAAAGGGTATTTTTGCCCACTTGTGAAAGTTTTGACCAGCCCAAAATGGGTAAACTTCAACATGCTAAAGTTGGAGGGACAATTAGGTTCTCAAAGGCCTCACTCAAGGCTTGAGAGACTTTCTAAAAAATCAAAGAGTTAAGAGCCTTAATCTTTTCAAAAGGAGAAAAAAGAAATAAAAAATAGAAGCCCACATGAGATGGAACATTTACTTAATAAACAAATAAACAAATGTGCCTTTCTTGGATGTCATTTTAGCTTGGAGGATAAAGCTTCTATTGGGGAGAGACAAAGTCTTTGATTAGAAGCATGACTTTTGATTAAAGTATGTCTTGAACAATCTCTCTCTCTCACCCATTTGATGAGTCCCCACATGATAGAGCTCCGATGCCAAGAATTGAAATGAAAGGATGATCCAGACAGTGGTTGGTAATTTGGTGAATGTCAAACATCAAACATCCTATGAGGGATTAGTTGGGGCATGATTCAATTTCATTGATTGGAGATTTGGGCAAAATTAAATATACCACCACTCAAAGACTAAGGAAACATTTATGTTTGATTCAGTTTGCATTAAAAGCTCAGTACCAACTTGCAAACTTCTGCTTACAAAACATAGAACTTGTGAACAAGGTTCTTGATTCCTAAGTTCCTAACAATATTATCTTGTTCTTTCTTCTTCTCATCTGTAAGGACTAAGACATCAGATGTTGTAGCTTCCATTGGATGGATGTTCATCATTCCTTTTGGTTGTATGAAGTTACCCTTCATATGAGTTGTTGCTTTTCAATGTCTAGTTGGAACCCAACATCAACCCCATCCCTGCTTGTATTCGTGTGGATTGATCTTCTTGACACCAATCCAACAGTTAAAAAAGTGGCACTCATGAGAGGACCCATCAAAGGATCAGGACCCTTCCTTTATGCAAAGATAAGGGTTTTGATCCATTACAATATCGGACGGCCAGGATTTCTCATAGAATCAGATTTTGGACCCAATGAAATAATGGGTCTTTAAACAAGTAAAGAAAGTGGTATGTGGCACGAGGGGAGGACCACTGTGCCATCTCATCACCTCATCACAGTGCTCACACAGAAAAACTGGTCCTGGTCCTTCATAAAAGAATGAAAACAACTTTTCCTAGGTTAAGAATCTCACCTTATTCTCTTATTCTTTCTTTTCCTTATTTTTTTTTTAGGTTTTTTAGTTAGGAAATTAAAGGAAGCCAGCAAGCTGATGGGAATGCAATTCATTAGTACTCTATCCTATTGTTTAATAAGCTTAACCCCTATAGTCATTTGCCATGTGGCAAAAATTATTTTTTCCTTCTTGGTCTGTATGCTCTCAGCCCTATAGGGCTTGTTATGTGTGCTTTTGATAACTAAATCCTGTGAATTAATTCTCTCTTACCCACAAAGAAAACATATCTCATAACTTCTAAATTCTTGCCTTTTGTCCCTCAAATTCTATCTAACAGCACTTCTTCTCCCTTTCACAGCTAATAGCTAATGTTTTCCTTGGACACTGATGAAATAGGTCTAAGAACAGCTGAATATCATAATACAGATCAAAATCCTTGTCTGGGTATGATCCAAATAATGATATCATAAAAAGTTTAATACATCATCATCCTCGTATCAAATTGCTTGCAATCACATGGGATTCCATATTAATGAAATCACCACTTGGGCTGTGACATCATCAGCATTTTTCTGTTTTCCTTTAAATTAATACTACTTTTAATTTATATAAAATTCGAAAAACTCCGGCGTTCGCCGGCGTCCACTTGGTGCACATGTAGGGGGGTGGGGACCCATCTATAAGTTCTTCATGGTAGGCCATAAACCGACAGCTGTGAATGATCCTAACATTCAAATCATATATATTTTCTGTTAAAATAGGCCAAAATTTTCAAATAATTAATCAAATTATTCATTATTCAGATTCCTTGATCATGCTTAGCGGTCGAGCATTTATCAAACAGTCGAGACATTTTTTCCTTATTATTTTCATAAAACTCCTCTCTCAAGTGTTGTACAATTTAGCAGGGTTGAGGGTTGAGCTTCTGAAAATTAATATGAAAATGTTTTCAGAATTGTTTTTGTTAGTTTCTCAATATGCCCTCAAAACCCAAGTGAGATGCTCCTCTTGGATGCCTGCACGAGGAGAATTCTTCACTTTAGCACATTTTTGGATGTAATTTGCATTTCTTTTAATGGTCTTCCCACACTCATCCCATTATCAGACCCTCATGCTCCATTGTTTAATTTAATAACAATGAGAATCAACTCCATTACCATCTCTATTCTATTAGTTACGTTATATTTTATCAAGAAATATGAATCCCATGAATTCAACTAAGATATATGCTTACACTAGAACTTCTTTAGTAGAGCTAAATTTCATGGTCATCCTATAACATCATTTCTACACTTATTAAATCCTTTTGTTTATTTATTTATTTAGCCACGTGGAAGGATGAAGTGGCAAATCTAGAGAGCTAATGGCTAGGGGTCTGTTACTTCCATATGGGCTTATAATTTATTATAGGGCTTTTCATTGTCACGGGACTTGAGGGATATTGGGGTTGATCTGAAACTGTCTTCATGAAGAGTACTGGGTGACTTGATAAGCACATGGTATCCTTTTAGGCCACCAGATAAAACATTCTCAGTTCAACTACCACTGCTTCCCCATTACTCTAGAACTGCTCATTATCCCTGTGAACTGATTAATTAAGCCATCTCCTCATTGATGCATATATCATTTGCTGACTTAATTGTAATATATAGTTCAGAAGAAGAAAAAAAATTAAACCTTTGTTTGCATTAATCAAGAAAGCTTGAAATGAGATATTAATTAATGGTAAGGTTAAAAAAAATCTCGTATTGGGTGTATCGTAGCATATCTTTTAGGTCCCGAAACAGATGTGTTTTCCGAAACCCACCCTTTTCTAATAAAAAAAATCCCTTTTTCATGTGTATCTAAGTATCGATACATCTCTGTCAATACTTAGAAGCGTATCGATACTTTTAACCAGGATTAAGTAATAAGTTAATTAGACAAATTAGTTTCATAAATGTCATTACATTTGAATATGTGATCAGTGTCAAACAATGTTAGAAGAAATGTCATTATATGGTCTTTTTCTTTATGGATGAACTGTTTTTTCATGACACTTCAGTAATGATTTCATCTGATGAATTTGTCAACCAAATGATGTAAAAATTAAAAAAAAAAAAAATCTTTAAATGGAATGTTCTTAATAATTAAAACACCCAATGAATTATCAACTAAGAGAATTCCAATTAATTACCTTAGTTTCTAATCAAGAGAAAAAGAAAATGGGCAATTAGCATTCACTCCAATTGATTTTCTTGAGAGAAGGGTCTCATAGAGGAAAAGCATAAAAAGGTTTTTTTTTTTTTTCTGTGGTGTTTCTTTAAGCCTGTAACTGAGAACAAAAGGGCTCCTGTATGCTGGAATCATGATTATCAACCACAACTCAAGCTTCATTTACTGGTCTCTCCCAAGTACTTTTTTAACCTTTTGCAGCTCGAATTTGGTGATAAATTCTTACCTTATCTCATGGGAATCCACCATTTTGGTAAGGAGTTGGTGTTATTACCTGTTTTCTCTTGAAAGCTGTGTCCTCTAGCCTGGACTAGAAAGTTGTACCCTTTAATTTAAGGCAAATTTTATTGTCTCCCTTGGACTTTGCTTATAAATACCAATTTTTTTAACCTGACATTACATTTGTACCTGATGAATTAAAAATTATTTTTTGAAATAATTAATGAAGTATTCCTTATAAATATAGTTGAGTGGCACGTGCAAATGCACGTGAGAATAAGAAGATGAGAGATACCCAAAGAATGGTCAGAGGAAAATAAATGGAAAATATTATATATCTTTTACTATATATAATATTTTGATATCAATATTATATAGTAAAAGATATATAATACAACTTTTTACCCTTAAAAATAATTGGTCATATAAACTTAACTAAAAGTCATATGGTAAAATCCTCACTTTCTCTCCTAAAACTTTATCCAAAGTCATATAGACTGTTTGTTTTAATTAAATAATTTTAAATTAAGCCATGATGTATTTAATATATGAAGTCCTAAACTAAAGGTTTCATACTACAATAAACTTAATGACTATGTAAAGTCCACTTGATAATTAATGGAAAAAATCTTATTATATTTTTATAATATATGATATTTTCTCACAGAAAATTAGGGTTATAAAAGGTAATTATTATTAACTTACTTTACTTACTTTATTGGTAAACTAGAAAAACAAAAGAGTAATTAAAATACAAGTTTTGAATTATTTCAGATTCTCAATTGGAGAATTTGAAAACAAATTTGAATTTATGCAGACAATCAAGTTATATGGTAAAAATTACAATTTTACATAAAGCCTATGG